GCGTTAGCCCCGATGCTATCACCATATATATGTATTAGCTCAGCGCTACACATTCTCCTATCATCACTGAGGTCCTCCATCCACATGACAGAGAGGGGAACGCAAAAATGACTCGGCTGCAACTGAAAATATGGATGGAGGACCTCAGTTTAGCTTGTCGCGCTAGCACTGAGCTAATACATTTAAGACAACATAGCGTCAGGGCTAACGGCACAATAAATATACATGTGACAAAATTTCAAGTGGATATCATCAACTTGTGAATACTATGCATGTTGAAGATTATAAATATACAAAGCTTTGAAAAAAATTATCAATAGGGTGTACAGGGGAGTAGTTCCTGCGATTCAGTTTAGGCGAATTTTAGCATTTTTTTAGTGTTTACTCCAGCTATTATGCATCAAACATGATCTAATCAAGGGAATCTTTTTTCCAACCAATTACCCATGAAAAGACAAAAATAAAATGGGGTGAATGGTGTCTGTCGGATGTATAGTTTAGGAGCTATGTTTTAGTTTTCATTATTCACAATGGAAAATCCAAGTCGGCCATTAAAGATGGTCAATAAAAACATTTACGGGACAATAATTTTCTCTGGGGCCAACACAATCCATTTACTAGATACCTTAAGGAGTACAAAAAGTTAGGTTAAAAAATATATATCTTTCAGGTGCATGCGACCCCCCCTCACTAGACTATGGAGCCATCTCAGTTGCCTTGTTTGGAAAACAACATTCTCTGCGGTTCCGTCTCATCCCCCCCCCCCCCCCCTCCTACTAGTCTAGTAGGGGTGGTACCATACTATTAAAACTCTTAAAACCCAACAGTAAACTGTTAAACTGCACCCTGGAAGAGACAGGAAGTCTGTGCAAGGAGGTCAGCACAGCTGAGATGAGGTCACTGTTTTCACAAGACGAACTGCAGTGTTTGGAACAGCTTCTAGTGACGAATGATTAGGACCAACATAAACAAGCGTGTGTGTGTGTGCGTGTGTGTGTGTGTGCGTGTGTGTGCGTGTGTGTGTGTGTAGAAGTTGAGCTCCTCCAGCCTGACTCAGCAGCATGAAACACTTGTTCCAGCAGTGTGTAGCTGCTTCAGCAGGACCCTGAGCTCTGGTCAGTCTTCAGCAGAGTCTGAACATGGCTGCTCCTCCTCAGGGCTGCAAAACACTGTTTTATAAACCTTTACACCACCATCAGTTACCTTTTGCACTTATTTTATTGGGGAGGATGAAAGATGTGTATTGATTTAAAAAAGCAAAAAAAAAAAAAAACTTGGCAGTTGTAACAAACTAACAAACTTTTACAATAACTGTGATGATGCCGTTACACAAAGACAGTGTTTAGAAAAGCTTCGACTCCTCTGATGTTAAAGGAAAAAAGCATGTTGTGTACATGTTCCCAAACGGATGAGTAGGAAGAACAGCTGGTAGTAGCTGCCACTGCTAACCAGGGGACCATGGAGTGATGTTAAAGTTCCTACATGACTCAGAAAAGCTGAAGTACAAAGTCCACTGCAGCTTTTATTGTGAAGGATTTGAGCCTACAGTCAGGCTTGAGCTGTTTGACATCCTGAAGCCACAGAACAGAACCATCAGCACAGCCACACACCAATGAAAGAGAGGAGAAAACACTAAGAAAAGCAGGTCAGACAGTTTTAACACGTGATGCATGAACGTCCACCAACACACAATCTGATGTCCTTACACTCAGCATTGTGACCTCTTTTTACTTCAGTCACTTCCCCAAATTCTGTTGATTAAATATCTCATGAACTACTGGAGGAAACTGTTCAAGATGGCTGCCACAGCTAATCATTAGTCAACAAATAAAAGGTTATAACTCAGTCACTGAGCTAAACCTTGATGTAGTAGCTGTGAGTCATTTACAACACATTCTCTGAAAGTGGCATCTCATGATACTGCATGAGATTGTGCATAACATTCTTTTCTAAGATTATTTTATTCTGAAACTCTGAAAGATGGAGAGTTATATACAGTACACACCTTGAGGAAACATTAGGCTTTATTCTAGCAGTGAATCTTAATCTGATGTTTACTTTATTTGGCAACATAGATTGCAGATTATATCCAAGAAGTACATTGAATTTCTTTAAATCATTGCCATCTTGAAATACAGCTCAGTTGCAAAAAAATAAATAAAAAAAACTGTTCATCCAGGTCCTCAGGTAGGTTTCGTTACGTTTATCAACAAAAAAAATATGTTGTGTTTCTTTACAAGATCATTTCTGTTGAATTTGGTCAAATTACCGTCCACATTCCTGCCGCCTCTGCAGCTACATTCTGCAACACAAGACAGGAAATCAAAGAATCCTCACTGAGACATTCTGGAGATTCCATCCTGAACGTTGTTTGCCAGCTAGATACCAACGTTCGCAGCGCAGTGAGATATTACTGTATTTATTCATTTAACCCTAAAAATCATCCATAAAGTGGGGGGATAGTATTATATATGGGTTATTGATAATTAGATTTTTATGCTTTGTAAGCTCAAAAATGATGATCGTATTATACATGAATAAATACGGTACCTTTATTGGTGCTAAGAATGTAAAGGTGAACTGATTATACCTCACAAACACTCACATACAGGCTAACATGGAACAATGCTAACATGGAGCCATGCTAACAGAGAGCCACGCTAACATAGAGCCATGCTAACATGGAGCCATGCTAACAGAGAGCCACACTAACATAGAGCCATGCTAACATAGAGCCATGCTAACATGGAGCCATGCCAACATGGAGCCATGCTAACAGAGAGCCATGCTAACATAGAGCCATGCTAACATGGAGCCATGCCAACATGGAGCCATGCTAACAGAGAGCCACGCTAACATAGAGCCATGCTAACATGGAGCCATGCCAACATGGAGCCATGCCAACATGGAGCCATGCCAACATGGAGCCATGCTAACAGAGAGCCATGCTAACATGGAGCCATGCTAACATGGAGCCATGCTAACATGGAGCCATGCTAACACAGAGCCATGCTAACATGGAGCCATGCCAACATGGAGCCATGCCAACATAGAGCCATGCCAACATGGAGCCACGCTAACATGGAGCCATGCTAACATGGAGCCATGCTAACATGGAGCCATGCTAACATAGAGCCATGCTAACATGGAGCCATGCTAACATAGAGCCATGCTAACATGGAGCCATGCTAACATGGAGCAATGCCAACATAGAGCCATGCTAACATGGAACCATGCTAACATGGAGCCATGCTAACATGGAGCAATGCCAACATAGAGCCATTCTAACATGGAGCCATGCTAACATGGAGCAATGCCAACATAGAGCCATTCTAACATGGA